GCTAAGGTGATAAAAAGGTGACAGAAGGGTGATACAAATGACTGTTTGTATTTGCTAAATTGCTGCCGGGTGCACATTCACTGCCGGGTGCACATGCTGGACATCTAAATCGCTGCCGGGCCAGTGCAAATCACCAAAATAGCTGCCCACCAAAATAGCTGCCGGGCCAGTACAAATCACCAAAATAGCTGCCGGGCCAGTGCAAACCTCCCAAACAGCTGCAGGCTACTGCAAATCGCCTAAATCGCTTCTTGGTGCCACATGCAGCACCTCAGCACCTGAATGCGTCTCGACATATACACTTCAGTATATCAAGCTATAACAAGCCTGCAAAAGTATGATCAAGTGTTACCAAAAGGAAAGGAAGGGGAATAAAGCCCCTGCACTTCAAAAAAAAGAAAAATGTATATAGAAAATGAAGCAAAATGCAAACCTCAACTAGTGTGTATCATACAATATGGATGAGGCATTGCAAGGTGACCCTTTCGCAGCCTCCAATACGTAGCCAGCATTATTGGAAGAAATCCCCTTTTCAAGTAAGAGCTCACGCAACTTGTGACATTCACTGTCCAATTCCTGATGTTTGAGTTTCAAAGCTTGAGTTGTTGCCCCTACTTTGAGGAATTGAGTAGATATCGCTGCACCGCAAGCAGCCCGTGTCTCAAAAACAGCACGAGCTAGCCTCATCTTCAATATGTCAAGCAGGAAACCTACTTGAAGCCCATATGAGATAGCGTCACGGATTGTATCTCTCCAACAAAGAAGTTTATGGTCAGAGATCTCCGAATATGACGTGACATCCATGCCGTATAAAGACAGACCAAGACCACGAAAGGCCAGATTCTTCGAAGAAAAGGATAGATTGCGAGCACTCTCGATACGAGCCTCATAGCTATCAAAGAACTTACTTAAAGATTTCACTGTCTCCGGGAATACTTGCGCTCCTCGGAATGTCTCATAACCCTGGAATTCGTAGCACAGTGGAAGAAGCTCGTCGGAGGATCTAAGTATTCTTGTGTCACTGTCGAAGAAAACCATAAAGGCACTAAATGCATCTTCCAACTCATAACAAGAAGGGTCATACCCCGACATGTCTATCAAATTGTCCACCTGCAAGATAAAAAAGAAAAATATGGATCAATCGGGAAAAAGTATAGCATGCACAGGATCAAGACAAATACAACAAATAAAGTATGCCAAATCAACATTATGTGGCGTGGAGGTTGTGGCGTCATGGACGAATTCAAGGGGGGCGTCTAAGCAGAGCGGTTCCTCCAAAGGATGATCTAAGTCAGCTAAACCGCCATCACCAACTTCACCCTCATCACCTCGATCGCATGCATGATCAGCCGGTATGTCGCTGATGGATTCCTCACTCCTTTCCATATATGCAAAATCAGCCTCATCATCTTCACCATCGAGCTCGGAAGTACTTGAAGTACTTATATCTCCCAGGTGGGAACCCCGACGTTTCCTCTTCCTCAAAGAAACGCCTACATGGCAACAAACGAATTAAGTATATACATATATATGCATTTGTACTACTGTAAGCAAGTTGTAGGTGCTGGAGGTTTCCGGCGCTAACTTGGAACTGAAGCGGTTGGCGCCATAGCCTGCTTAGGGCCGATGGAAGGAGAAAGTTTCTTCCTGGGAGGACCAATCACTGCCACTTTGGTACTTCTTTTTACAGACTCCAGGAATCTTCCAACTATTTTGCCATCCTTGGAAGTAAAGGCCAAGTTTCGCTTCTCACTGAGCGCAATAGCTTTCTTTTCCGATATCAGTCTTCGGTGATGATCAATGGAAGGGAGCAGTCTTCGCGGAGAACTTGCATGAAACCGAGTAAAATAAGCAAAGCAACGATTCCAATAAACACGGTGACCTTTTGAACAGCCACCAACCCTTTCCCTGCTAGTCAAAGCAAGGGCAAATTGTCTACCATCATCTGGTACCCTCACTCTACTCCAAAATACCTTGTGCATTTCAAGTGGATGGCAAAAGTCGGGTCTTACTGGGACACCTTGATCAAGCCCAAATTGTCGTCTAACCCGATGAGTCGAGTAATGAATGGATGTCTCAGAATGATCATCACCAAACGTAAACAGTGGGAGGCCTGCCATATTCAGATATGCATCTTTTCTTGATTGCTCACCCCTTGGTATTATAATGGAAGTTCCTCCTACTTCCGCATAAAATGACACCTGTCCAAACCCTCTGGGTACCTTCGTATAAGGGCGAAACACAAAATGTTGAATATCATCCAATAGCTCAAGGAAGTTTTGGCCTTTCCTTTGCTTTCTCCTGAACCACCGAGAAATCAAAGGAGGCATATTTGGCGTGTATGAAACATCACTAGCACGAACAAGCAGTCCAGCTTGTGAGCAGGGCAGTGGGCACACATCCAAACCATTAATGTGCTCCCATAGAAACACCTGCAAAAAGCTTGAATTCAGGAAACTCTCCACTGCCATTGTTCCGGCCGCACCTTTCTCAAGAAGATGTACCTGATCTAGCAAGCGATACAAGTACCCCAAGAACATGGGGGCTAACGGAATCACATCACCTCGTCCGATTGCCAGTGCTAAAGGAAACACTCTCTCGTGCATATAATCCGAAGA